CACCCCCAAGAACCCCCCACCCACCCAGCCTAGTTGGGGAATTCTGGGAGTTGAAGTCCACGCATCTTCAAGTTCCCAAAGGTTGAGAAACACTGTGTTAGAGGCATCATTTCTGCAAGAGGAGGAGGAGGAGGAGGAGGGAGGAGGAGGAAGAGAAAGAAGAAGAGGAAGAGGAAAAAGAGAAGAGAAATGGAGGAAGATGTTTTAAACCAGTGTTTTTCAAACTTGGCAACTTTAAGATAGTGGACTTCAACTCCCAGAATTAGGAAAAAGAGAAGAGAAATGGAGGAAGATGTTTTAAACCAGTGTTTTTCAAACTTGGCAACTTTAAGATAGTGGACTTCAACTCCCAGAATTCCCCAGCCAGCATGGCTGGCTGGGGAATTCTGGGAGTTGAAGTCCACACGTCTTCAGGTTCCCAAGGTTGAGAGACACTGCAGTAGAGTGTCCAGCAGAAATGGAAAAGGCCCTTTTGGGCCTGCGACTCTGGAGCACCACCACAAGCAGAGCAGATGGCAGCAAAAAACTCATCCGGCTTAATTCTTGTAAATCTCTGGGTTTGTTTGTTTTTCTTAGCAGAGATCTGCTGGCCCCAGCAACGTTCTCCGCGATGCCTGTTTGGTAGCCAACGTCTTAGATCCCCGGATCAAGCAAGAAATCATCAAGAAGTTTATTAAGCAGCACCTCTCAGAGTATCTGGTGCTGTTCCAGGAAAACCAAGACGTGAGTTGGGCTCTGCGGTCCCCTAGGGCTGGGGAGCCTTTGAGGAAGATTCGGAAACCCTTGGCGTCTAGAGCGTGCCCAGCACTTTTCTGCTGTTCACTGAAGCTGTTCACTCTCAGTTTTCAGGCTACTGCTGGAGCCTGGGGAAAAAAAAAATACCTGCCTTAAAGAAACTACTTAATTAAAGTTGTGCAGCAGCTTTTGAAGTTGCTGAAATGTTTTTCCAGTTTGGTGTGGAAACCTGAAAAAAGAGTGGGCTGCTTGAAAGTGCAGCAGACAGATGCTCGACTAGCATGGAGATCAAAGCCTGCGTTTTCTGAATCATGGGGGAACTATGCACAGCTCTTTACTTCCTTCCTTCCATCCCTCTAAATTAAAAATTACGGTACTGAAATATCCTTTTTAGGTTGGGCTGCTTACATTGGGGAACCAAACCTGCTATATTGGTTTCCTGACGCATGCATTTAAATAAAAGAATTGCAAAAGAGTGCTTCACCCAAGCATGAGATTAGTCCTAGGTCAGCCTTTCCCAGCCTGGCACTTTCCAGATAGCATAAGGGGCAGAGGGAAGAACCTTGAGGAACAGGAGGACAAACCGCAACCAAGACAACAGTCAGATAAAAGAGGACTGAGTCCGGGGCAAGAACGTAACTTGAGTAAGTGTCTCAGACTTGACCCTCCCCAGTTCTCACAGGGAGCGAAGAATCACATTCGGGCTGGCAAGATTCTGTTATAATAGCTCTGTAGTAAAAGTAGCATTAGCCGGATGACTTTGGTTTCCCAGTTGGGTCTACCTTGAAGGGCTGGCAAATTCTGGGAATTGCTGTCCCAATGCAACTGCAATCTTCTTTGATGGGGAGGGGATCTAGGAATTGGTCTATAATTTTCAGCTGGACCCATCAGCGAAAGAAGCGCTTCGCATATTCAGGCTGCAAGCAAGTCCTGGGTACACGTAATTGGTCCCCACCCCCAGGGGCATCCACGGGGGGGGAAGATCAAAGACGTTGAGATGGTGGGCACCAAAAGCCCCGCCCCTTTTCTATGTGTATCACATATATCACACATTTAAAAGAGTTGGGGGTTGGTTTACACAGCTATATCCACCATTGTAACTTTTTTGAACCTCCTTGCACCCTGCAAATTCGGCAGGAACATGCTTATTTATTTGCTAAAATTTATGTGGTACTCCCATCAGGACGCTGAGTGGCTCACAGTCTGATACAATAAAATAACAGCGACTGAGCAGGAAGAAAACAACAGTGCCCTAAAAAAACAGCACCGAGACTCAAATTCATAGCAGGAGGATCCCCTCATCACAAATCTACATCCGAGGCTCTCTTAATGGCGTTCTGAAAAATGGGTTGCTTGGGGCAATTCTTCAGAAAAGTGGAGGTTCATCTGATTTCACCCAGAACTCAGAAGAGTTTCCATTTTAGTTCCCAATGTTGGCTGGGGAATTCTGGGAGTTGAAGTCCCCACATCTTAAAGTTTTTCAAGTTTGAAAAACACTGGAGTAAAGAATGGCTAAGGCGTACAGGGTGGAAGGCAGTGAGTCTGAAACCCCCTCTCCCAGAAACCATTTGGGTTTTCACACCCTCCTCTTTTGGGATGATAGCTTTGTGGTTCCTGCTGCTGCTGCTGCCTGTCTCCCTGTCAGCCCTTCGAGGTGGTCCCTACAGGAAACCAAAACCATGAGTACCAATTCTACCTTTATTGTAAGGTCCCAGTAACAGAATCTTGCAAGTCTGAAAGCGCTTCCTCCCTCCCCTGCCTTTATGTTTCAGAGAACTAGAGAGGGTCCAATCTGAGAGACTTTCTCAAATTACATTCCTGCTTTGGACTCAGATTTCTCTTATCAGACCATTGTCTAGACTGTGGCTCTTTCTCCTGTCTCCCAAAGTTATTCTTACAACCCATTATACTTCCATTGGACACATATTCTAGCTTCTGTTCCCTAACCCCTGTGTGAGAGAATGATAGAGCTCTCACGCCCTGTGCTGACTTTCAAATGATAGAAAGGTCAAAATACAAAAATTAAAATAATTTCTATAGTACCATCTTCAGACTGTGTAACTGGTGAATTGAGGATTCAGCCTTTCCCTCCATCCACCTCTTTTGTAAAACCAATGCAAAATAAATCAATCTCACCGGACATAAAGAAAACCAAACCTTATTTTAAAAAATGATAAGATAAAAATATAACACACACTTAATATAAAATATTAAAGTGCAAATATTTGGGGCTGAAGAATATATTGCTTTTGCACTGTTTTAATCCTGTGTTAGCTACCCAGAGTCACAATTTGCAAGTTAGGCAACTAATACTTAAATTTAATTAAAAAAATAAATGTAAGAGCTGATTCTCAGACTGTTAAAAATTCAAGCAACAAGAACCAACTGCCATGTTTCAGTCATGGAGATGTGCATTACGTAGCCTGAAAGGTAGGCTACGTTCACAACAGTTAGTTGTAGAATTTTTGAATGGCTTTGGATTTTTATATGTGTGGAATGATGTTCCCCCAGGGATTTGTATGACTCCCACCCTGACCCCACCCCTTAAAAACCCAAGGGCATTGAGCGTAGGAAGATTTTGATCAACGTGGAGGAGAAGGCTGGCTGAAATCTCCACCCTAAACTCTGCTCCTGCTGTTCTCCATCAGGTTGCTTGGCTAGATAAGATCGACCGGCGTTATGCCTGGATAAAACGCCAGCTGGTAGACTATGAGGAAAAATATGGCCGGATGTTCCCAGCAGAATGGTGCATGACAGAACGAATTGCAGTGGATTTCTGCCATATTACAAGGTGGGGCTCGGAAAAGCTGTTTTTTTTCCACCTCTAGGAATGCTCCTTCTTGGTCCTTTCCACCCACGTCATTAAAAGTCCAAATAACATTTAATTTTAATGCATTTAAATTTAATTTTAAAAGCTGAATTGCACAGGCTGAGATAGGTCCAAAGGGTTCTTCTTTCTGTGTTGTTGCTTGTATTAGTTCTATTTTCTTCTCTCTGTCCAGTTCTTAAAATGTGTTGCTTTACTAATTTCTGCAAGGCAGTCAATCTTAAGGCGCTTTCCCTCCCTCCCGAATGAACACCAGGCTTCCGTGATCTCACGTCATCCTCTGAGTTCAGTCACTAAGTCAATTTATTTCTGGTTTGGCTGCAGAATGTCTGAAATGGCATATGCACGTGCATGCACGCACACAGAGTCTTTCAGTTTGCTAATCTGAAGTTCTTCAGAGCACATGGATGGTCTGTTTTTCCCTTAGATAACTTCTTGCCTCAGCCTGTCTCACAGCTTTCAGTCTTTCAGCTTTCAGCTGAGCTCCCATCTGATTCAGAGGTCCTGAAAGGGGAAAGGAGGCTTGATGGTTTCACAGCCCTTCCCCTAAAAGCAATTCTCCCAAGTAGAATGTGTTTTGGGGGGAATGAAAGAAATTCACAGGAGCCAGCTGATTCCATTTTAAAATGCAATCAGCCTTGATCTGGGTTCTTGGGAGGGTGAGTAGACCTTTACAACTCTTCTCGTGCCCGTGGTGTCCCTGCCGACATGAAACAGACAAGAATTCTGCAAGACAGGCAAGGATTTCTCTTCAGCAAGGGATGAATCTTAGCACAAATCCCTAGTCTGCAGTGGTGCGGTTATTTTTCAGCAAATACTTCATAACTGAGATAGAAATTTCTTTCTCTTTTTGGTGCAGTTGGAGGTAATGATAATAATAATAATAATTTATTCAACTTGTACGCTGCCCAACTTTGGTAAGGGGATTTGGGTCACCCCAGAATCTATAGGGGTGTAGGGCAGAGCACTGACTGAATGAATGCCATGCGAGCGTGCTTTTAAACCATTGGCAATTTAGGTTGTATGCCGGTGTGCACCCAAGCAACTTAAAGGAACCAAAGTGCAATTTAATAATTGCGTTTAATTGAAAACCTAAGAGGCTGCTTAGAAGCAGCTGTTCCAAATTTCATCTGTTTACCTGCTGGAAGGATAGTGCATCGATCTTGTAAACAGATTGCTGGGCAAGCTTCCGGGAGGTGCGTTGGCGTAACCCAGTCCACCAACATGCCCGATTGCTCCTTTCTGCAGATGCTGAAATTGGGAGCCGTGCTCTGTCGTTTGTTCTCCAGCAGCCACGCCGCCCAAGTCTAGTGTAATAACTACTTACAGCTGAAATAAAGAGAGAAACAAGTCTGCTTCTGGGTGCTTTCCCTTTGCCAAGAGCTCACCAGCGAATCAACCACGAAAGGGTGGCTTATGATAGTGCCTGTTGCAACTGGGGGCGGGGGGGAGAAATCACTGGATGCGTTCCTGGGGAAGCTGCGGTTCACGGTTGCCGTCTTGCAGGAACACACCCAGAAAGCTAAAATTACCATAAAACAAATCTCACAATCCCACAGCCCCAAAGTAATGGCTGTGAAAGTGGAAATAAGAACCAAGCAATGTGAAGAGGATGAAAAGGTCTGGGGTTTTTAAAGCAGTTCTGTTCCTGAGGCCACAGTCCGGTTGGAACGAGTGCCGCGAGAGGCCCTAAGTTTGCGCCCTTCTCTTCTCAGGATGGAGCTGGGAAAGATCATGCGCGCCCGAGCGAGAGAGATCGAGGTGAAGCTGCTCCTCTTCGCCATCCAGAGGACGACCAACTTTGAAGGACTGCTGGCCAAACGCTTCTCTGGCTCCACGCTGACAGAGACGGTGGTGGTAAGAAAGGGCCCCTCGGTTCGGGAGGCTCCACGCTCCTCCGGCGGAGAGGAGGACCCCTTGCCAGTTGGGGCCCTTGCCCCCCGCCCCCCCGACAATTTTGTGCCCTTCAGTCACTGAGCCAGGAGGCCTTGGGGGAAGAAGAAGGCTTTTCTTCTCATGATCAAAAATCAAAGAGCCATTTCTTTTTCTTTTATAAATTTTTATTGCATTTTAATTAATAACAAAAAGGAAAAAGCATAATAATAATAATAATAATAATAATAATAATACATAAGAAGAAAGAAAACATTAAAAGGTGGTATTACCAAAAAAGTGACAAAAATACAAGAACAAGAGAGGGATCTTTGGAAGAAATGGATCTATCCTACCCTTCTTAGGTCCAGACTTCGGGTTTTAAGACAGAGTTATTTCAGGAAGCTTTCCCCTCCATTTCTTAGGATGCCGTCTTAAACTTCATTCTGATTGCTTTCTCTTGTTTGCATCTTCTGGTTTTCTTTTTCAATTCCTGCTTTTATTGTTAAGTTCTTGCGTGGTTTTAAACGTTACCATGAACATTTTAAATCGTTCTGTTGCGTTCTGGGTGAGCTGCCGAGAGTCTTTTTTTTTTAATTTATTGGATTTATATCCTGCCTTTATTTTATTTATTTTCTTTACAACTCAAGGCAGCATACATAATGTTCCTGTTTCTACACAACCACAACCCTGGGAGGTAGGTTGGGCCGAGAGAGGGACCAGCCCAAAGTCACCCCACCGGCTTCCATGCCTAAGGCGATTCTAAAACCCATAATCTCCCAACTTCTGGCTCATTACCTTTAACCACTACTCCAAGCTGGCTCTCTAGTTATTATCAATAATCGTTAATAAGTTGTTTGGCACCGTTAATGATTTCTAGCACATAAGAAGGGCTCATGCTGTCAGGAGCTCCAGATCTGGTCCCAAAATAATGCTTTCCTCGGGTGGCTCTGGAGGAGAGCAAAGCATGAGTTGGTCTTCAGGGAGAGAATGGTTGCGGTCCACCTGAAGCCACTCCCAGGTGGCAAGATAGGGAAGAAGGAGAGGTGGCCAAGGTGATGCAGAGTCTTGAGGGCTACCTGATGGGAAGGAATGGGTATGGATGTCACACACAGGGGTGCAGCTGCTAAGCTAGAGCAGTGCCCTTTGAGGGACATGAGGGTCCATGTAACACAATATGGTACATGAAGAAAGAAAGACCCCATGTGAAAAGGAGATGCTGGAGGCAGAGAGTTGAAGGACTGAGGCAAAGATTGCCTTGCTTCTCTGAATCTGAAAGTAAGAAATACAGCCCTGATTCCAAGTTCTTCTGCCTAAGAGGAAGAGGAGGGTGATAGCCCACCTCCAAGAGCCATCCTTCAGTTGACCTGTCAAAGTGCATGTGAAATTCTTTGGCCTATCCTAGCTTAAAAAGGATCTGGGGAGCTTAAAACCTTGACTATTTACTTCCAAGAGGAACCAAACCAGAGTCACCTTTTCCCTTCAACTTCCTGTCTTTCTCTGACAGAAAAAGCCCGACCCTCCACCACCCTCCACCAACCCTTTCCTGGAGGATGAATCTGTGCTGGATGAGGATGAAGCCCCGTCTGAAAAGGCTGATGTTGATAAAGTAAGTGCTGGTGTTTCTGAGATTCCATGTTTCTCCCAAACAGGCAGGTGGGCCTTTCCCCCTCTCTCTTCCACACACTGATATGCATTGGACTAGAATTCCCATCATTCCCAGCTGTGCTGGATCCCCTGTGGCTGAGGATGCTATAGCTCTCGGTTCCCTATACAGAGCAAGGGGTTGGAACAGACAGCCTTCACAATGAGTTCTTCCCCTCTCCAGCCCCAGGGTTTCCTCTTTCAGATTTCTTATGTAGTCCTGTGAAAGTTTAGGACAAGAGCACCTTGGACATTGTCTGCTCCAGCCTTCCTCAACCTGATTGATGGACATGGATGTCCAACCTATCTGGAGAGCATTAGGTTAGTGAAGGGTACCCGAGATGTTGAGACAGGGACAGAAGATGGAGGGGAGACATGCTATCTATAGTCAAGTCCCTAAAGGGAAACCGTGGGGCTAAAATGGAGAACATTTTTCCATGGCCACTGAAACTAGGACCAGCAATAAAAAGGATAAGTTGCAGCTAGATTTTGCTTAAATATGAGAAACTTCCTGACAGTCAAATAAGTGGAATAGTGGACTCACAGAGGTTGTGGGCTCTCCATCTCTAGGGTTTCTTAGGAAGAAGCTAGATAGCTACTTCTCAAAGATGAGTTTTCCTGCACATTGCAGAGGATTGGACCAGATGGTCCTTGTAGTCCCTCCCAATTCCACAATTCTGGGTATTGGACAGGAATTGGAAGGATATTGACAGGTTACCCCAGGTTCAGAGAAAGGCAATGAAGGTGATACAGGGACTTGAGAACAGGCCCTTTGTGGACAGGCTGGAGGAAGCGGGGATATTCAGTCTGGAGAAATGAAGGTGGCGAAGCGATGTGATTTCAGTGTGGAGGTCCATAAAGGGAAGCTACAGAGAAGACGGTCAAGAACTCTCTTACATGGACACAGAAACCAGGACCAGAAATAGTGGGTAGAAAAAGTTCCTGAGAGCAAGATCTGCCCAACAGTGGAAGAGCCTAAATATGAAGGTAGTTTCTGGAGGTTTTAGAGAAGAGGTTAGATAGCCCCCTGTCATGGATGGTTTGTTGGTTTTCCTGCACCCTTCAGAGGGTTGGAGCAGATAATCTTTGTGGTTCCCACCAACCCACCAGTTTTATGATTCTGTGGTTGGAGACAGCCTCCAAGTAGGTGAGCTGAAATGGGCTTGGAATAGAAAGAAACTCAGCGTGTCTGATGCTTCAAAGTAAGATTGGCCAGTTGCACATTCTCTCCTCCTCTCATTTTTGTTTCATTTAATATTGCTACCAAAGTCTACTAATTTTCTAGGGACACCCCCTTATTTAAAAACAACGCTTGCCAGATGAATTGCCATCCATTAGAGACTATTAAAGAAAATTGAGGCAAAATCTTCATGACATTACAGAATAAACGTAGCTTATTCATTCATTCATTCATTAGCCCAGGGGAATTAACAAAGTGAAAAGCAAGTTTACACCAAGAGAGTGGAATTCTTTTCCTGAGAATCTGTTTATAATCTTTTTTTTCCCCCTAGCCGCAAAAGCCCAAAGTTCCAAACAATCCATTCCATGGTATCATTTCTAAGTGCTTTGAACCCCATCTGTATGTCTACATTGAATCTCAGGATAGGTGAGTAACAATTATTTGCAAGTTGTTTGCCTTGGTGGGGGGAGAGCAGGGCTGATTAAAAAAATTACCAAACCTACGCTTTGCGCATTCAAGAAGAATTCACAAAATAGTGTGTCAGTTCTCTGAGCATTTCTGCTTCCACTGAAATAAAATGGATTTATTTTATTTTTTATTTTTGAATGCGTAAACCAGTGTTGCTCAACCTTGGCTGTTTTAAGATGTGTGGACTTCAACTCCCAGAATTCCCCAGCCCGCCATGCTAGTGCAATAGCAAATGACAATAACTGAACTGTAACACATAATTACAGGAAAAGATTACCATTAACTTAATATTCCTAGCACTGGGAGCTCCATAGCGCTCAACGTCCAAAGGCCTTCCACAGATGCTGAGTTTTTAAGAGCTTCTACAAGATTAGGAGATAGATGGAGCTTTTCTAGGGTCTTTGAAAGCATCTGATGCTCGCTGGCCTCTCTAAAGCCTTCACTTGATTGAACTGAGAAAATCACAGGTGGCAAAGCTTTTGCAAGCGCTAAAATACCCTCTTTTCTTCTTCAGTTACTTCTCCTCCCTTCTGCTCTGATGTTAAATGTTCTGCTGCTCCTCAGTTTTCGTGCAACCTGGATGGGGAGCAACAACTTTGGCTCAGCCCTAGGAAGACTGGGTGGCTTTGGGTTTTAGGAGCCCCCTGCTTCTGGGGACCTTCCACCTCTTGCTCTGGGTGGGGTTGCCCTGCCCCAGACAGATCCCGTGCACAGTTTGGGGATCCTGCTGGACTCGTGGCTCCTGCTTGAAGGGCAGGTGCTAGCCGTGGCCAGAAGGGCCTTTGCACAGCTTAGTGTTGTGCGCCAGTTGCGGACCAGGAGTCCCAGCTCACGGTCACTCACGCCTTAGTCACCTCCCGCTTGGATTACTGCAATGTGCTGTACGTGGGGCTGCCCTTGAAGACCATCTGGAAGCTTCAGCTGGTGCAAAATGCAGCAATACGGGCAGTTGTGGATGGTGGTCACTCAGCATATGTGACGCCTCTGCTCCGGTTGCCGGTGTGTCTCCAGGTGCAATTCAGGGTGCTGGTGGTTACCTTTAAAGCCCTGCAGGGCTTGGAGCCAGGCTCCCTATGGGACCCTCTCTCCCCTGTGGCGTCTCCCTGTCCTGTGAGATCCAGCAGGAGAGGCATGATCCAGGTCCCATTCACCAGCTATCTGGGGGGCCCAGGAAGAGAAACTTTTCGGCCATGGCACCCACCCTTTGGAACATCTTCCCCTCAGAGCTGGGACTTGCCCCAACCCTGCCGGCCTTTCGCATGGCATTGAAAACCTGGTTTTGCCATCAAGCCCGGGGCCCTGATAGGATGGGTGAACCCGTTTCTTGGCCTTGATTGTGCTAACGGAGTCTTCTCGGCCGCTATGTTATTTTATGTTATTTCTGTGGTTTTTAAATTTGATTTCTTTTTTATTATGATGTTTTTATTCTTTTTTTTTTTTAACTGTTAGTAGCCACCCAGAGTCATGCCTATGATCAGCCATATAAATGTATTCAATCAATCAATCAATCAATCAATCGTGTTGCTGTCCTTTGGTTCTCATTGGACTTCAGAAACCTTGGAGAGCTGATTGACCGGTTCGTGGGGGATTTCAAAGCCCAGGGACCCCCCAAGCCGAACGTGGATGAGGGCGGGGCCGTTTTGCCCAGCTGCGCCGACCTCTTCGTCTACTACAAGAAATGCATGGTCCAGTGTTCACAGCTGAGCACCGGGGAGCCCATGATTGCCCTGACCACCATCTTCCAGAAATATCTGCGAGAATACGCCTGGAAGATCCTCTCGGGAAATTTACCCAAGTGAGTGTCTAGCCCCCTCGGGTGATAAGCCACCTTCTTACCTGATTTTTTCTAAGCCCTGGAGCTTGTAGGGAGCTTTGCAAAGCCCACCGGCATTCTCTGCCAAGGAGAAGATGGGAAACCTTTACTCTGATGTTCCCCAGCCTGCAAGCCTTCCAGGTGTATGGATTTCAGCTTCTGCAATTCTCAGCAGTACAGACCGGGGGATTCTGGGTGTTGAAGTCCAGTGTGGTGAAGGCGTTAGACTGGCCCTGGGGAGATCCAGGTTTAAGTCCACCCTCCACCATGGAAACTCTCTGGCTGACTCTGGGCCAGTCCCTTGCAAGCCTAACCGCAGGGTTGTTGTTATTGAAGAAAATAGGAGGGGGGAGCTCTGTATACACTGCCTTGAAGGAAAGGCACAATGTATATTAAGAGAGCCAGTGTGGTGCCTTGGTGAAGGTGCTGGACTAGGAGTGGGGAGACCTGGGTTCTGGTCTTCCCCAGCCACAGAGGGTCCCTGGGGGACTTTGGACCAGGAACACACTCTCGTCCAGCCTACCTCACAGGGTAGGCCACCTTGACTTCCTGGAGGAAAGGCAGATGTAACTCTAACAAATAAATAATCAAGAAATCCATACATCTGGAGAATGCTTCGTTTGGAAAAGGCTGTTATCAGCTTGAGACCCTCTATGAAAACTGCAGACAGACATCATGTTTCACGGTACGTTTATTTTTGAGATCCTGAGGTCCACCAAACATCTCTAGATGAAGATCATTGGCCCGTTGGTTACTTGCAATTCTCTTTCAGAGGATCTCGGCTTCTGTCCTACTTGTTGTATTCTGGGGTTCATCACTCCTTCCTGTCTCACATAATATCCACCTGGCCAATTTTCTTTTGCAGGGTTGGCATGCTCCGGATTCCTTCAATTCAACAATGCTATCTTTCAGGACCCCAGAAGCGCGCCTTCTCTGTTGCAGCGCCTCTGTTGCAGTGAGGTTCCCCCCGAGATCCAGATGGCCCCCATTTGCTGTTCAGAAGAGCCACAAAAACCTGGCTCTTCACCCAGGCCTTCGGCGAGGGACACTCCTCCTTTCATTGCACTGGCCATCTTTGATTGATTGTATTGTAATTTCTTTGATGGCTGTGAGCCGCCCACAGTCATGAGGAGTCGGGCGGCATGCAACTTTAATAAATAATAATAATAATTATTATTTCCAACCTCACCAGGACCACAAGCACCAGCAGCAGCGGCCTGACCATCACCAGCTTGCTGAAGGAGAAGGATGGTTCCGAGGTGGCCAAATTCACGCTGGAAGAACTCTGCCTGATCTGCAGCATTCTGAGCACAGCCGAGTACTGCTTGGCGACCACCCAGCAAGTAAGGGCCCTGCAGCCTTCCTTGCAGGCAGATCCCCTGGGGCTTGGTGACATGCCAGTTCCGACTCTCAGTGGGGAAACGTGCTTCGGGGGTGGAACCACAACTTTGCAGACCCCATTTCAAACCCTGGTGTTTACGTTAGGTAGCCGAGGGGGAGAGGCTTCTGCCTGAAATCCTGGGTCACAGCTGTTCAGGATTGCAGGGCCAGGCAGTTGGGTGGTCTGACTTTTTTCCAGGCCCCGCAAAAGAAAACCACCAAGCTTCTAGCACTCATGACTCTCAGCAAATGAAAGAACCCTGGCTCTTCAGCCGGGATGCTCAAAAGTCGAGGGAGGGCAGGTGCAAATTTCTGAGGGTATTTTAATGTGGATTCAGGGTCAGGAGGGGGTGTCTGTTTCCCAGTTTTCAGTTTGCATTTTTCATATTGTTTTATACGGGTAGCCCCAGTTTATACAGTTTAAGAATGAGTTCAGTTTCCAAGGTCTGTCCTTAAGTCAAATTTGTATGTCAGCTGGAACAGTAGTGTTGTATAATACTGTATAAGTAGTATTGTATAATTAATTCAAACCATTGTGTATGGGTAATCCTCACTTAATGACCATTCATTTAGCGACTGTCCAAAGTTACAGCGGTGCTGAACAAAGGGACTTATGACTGGTCCTTGCACTTACGACTGTCACAACGCCCTCGCGGTCACATGATTACGATCCGAGTGCTTGGCAATCAGCTCGCACTTACGATAGCTGCAGCATCCCAGGGTCACATGATCGCCATTTGCAACCTTCCCAGCTGGCTCCTGACAAGCAAACTCAATGAGGAACTGTGCAATTCACTTAACGACCACATCATTTGCTTAACTGCCAACACAAAAAGTGATGTAAAATCAAGTGTCACATGATGCCTCGTTTAACAACCGCCCCACTTAACGAATTTCCCAGTCTTTATTGTGGTTGTTAAGTGAGGACTACCTGTATTTAACTCAAATTTTGCTACAATAGGCTTGGTTCTTAACTATGGGTTGTCTGCAGATTGGGCATTCTTAACCTGGAGGTTACATACTGAAAATCAGCAAGGACACAGATACTTGCCTTTCTGCTGTTCTTCTAGCTAGCAATGCAGGGGAGGGGACCACGTGAAAGAGGATGTGATGGAGGACGTGCGTGAGGAGATTCAAGGCCATGGGGAGAAGCATCTCCTCAGCCCACAGACTGAGCGTGTGAAAGCAAAGAGGATGAGACTGGCACCACCCTAAGGAATTCGTAGTGTTTAGTTGCAGTCTTTGGGA